GCCACGTTTTCCACGCCATGTTTCATGTCTAGGTTTTTCTTGTTGTTTATTTAGTTCTCCCAGTTTAGGTTGATGTTAATTTACTTCAGTTTGCCATTCAAGTTCTGTTCCCCGTTCTTGGAGTCTGCGTTTTGGGTCCTTTTGTCAACTCATACAGTCTGCCTCCCCCAGACTGTGACATAAAGCTTAAATAGTGAATAACTGGGAAAAAGAACGGGAATTTGTCTCCGAGACATTCATCGTCAGTTATGCATCGTGTTGAGTTCGAGGAAACAAAAGAGAAATTTAAAGGCGAATATGAACACGTGGACGTTCATGTTTGGACTTGAGATTTTAAAGCTTTGATGTTAACATTTTGGACGACATCATTATTGCGTTTTGGAGCCACAGACGGCTCTATTTGAACAAAAGGAACGCTACATTTGTCATTTATATACAATTTCTGTTATAGCTTAGCAAAGGAAAAGTTTTAGCATATGGTTAAAAATGACCTCTAAGTCTAGAGAATGGCAGATTAGTTTTAAAACATTAAGTAGAAGAATGACATCTAAGAAGTACAACATCATCAAAGGGAAGCAGCGTTATTATTCTACTGTGGAGACCAAACTTATCAGCCTGTTTGCAGAGCAACAGATTCCCAGTGGACACTGAGTGAGAAATTCGGCTCACCGTGTACAGCGATGGTTTTTCTGTCCTGCAGAATAGTATTCCCTGCAGACACCTGCACGGTGACTGTATTGATGCCTTCCCGGGAGAATGTGTACGCCACGCTTCCCTCTAGGGTGATTACTGGCTGCTGGGGGAGCGAGAGAGAGAGGAAGATGGGGAGTCAGATTGTACGTGCTCCCGTGAGAGACCCTTATCAACGGCTGGTTAACATCACACACTGCTGTTATTTACACTACAGAGGTGTCAGGCTGTTGGCCGACTCACAAAAACACACACAGACACACACGCAGGATGACACACAGCTTTGCTGAAGTCTGTGCTGTGCTGAGGCCTACAGGGAGTTTCCTGTGTGACACCAGCAGCTCCTTACTGTCATTACTCACGTCTCCATTTGTTCTTCAGATAGCTTTAAGATGCTAATGCTGCCACTGTTTATTACCAAGCGACAGAACTGCTTGTCCTTGTGGAAAGGCCCCTGTTAGTGCTGAGCAAACACATTTACCCAGCTACAATTACACAGACAGAGAGGAGTGGAGCATTTCTACAGCTATAGCAGTGCATCCTCAGACCAGAATGCTTGAATTGTTTCTTTTATTCTCTTGTAATATAAATTTTTTGATGTGTCATGTTAAATGTTATGGTTCTAGTGTATTGATTACATTAGTTGCTAATCCTGTTGATGCTAGTAAAGCCGGGGTCAGCGTGTTTGCACTCTGACAGCTGCTATATTTGGAGGAACAACGCTCTACTTTTTCAGGAAGTTCTAATAGAATCCTAACTAGGGATGCAACGATACCAATTTTTTCAAACCGATACGATACCGATACTTGGATCTGAGTACTTACCGATACAGAGTACAAAAAACAATACTTCTACCACACACACACACAAATGCAATGAATTGGAAGACAGGTTTTATTATATTCGCTGCCGAAAAAAAATAAAATCTTAATAGAAATGACCACAAAAAAATTCAAGTGAAAAATAAGCACTTCTGTTAAATTATTGCAGAGTCTCCACATTGTAATTTTACAAAATATCACTGAACTATTGGCACTGTCTCGAGCTTTCAGAATAATAAATAAACACTTCTGTTTGGAATAAAATAAATACAAATTAGGTTTGAGAATAAAATAAACTTTTAAATTATTGCAGAGTGTCCATATTGTAAACAAACAAACAAAATAATTATTATTAAATAAATAATAAAATATAAAAAATTATAAAATAAATAATAAATAAAATAATAATTGGCCCCCTAGTGGCCAATCTAAAAAACTACAACAGAAATGACAAGCCACCCTCTGATTAATGAAATAAGTTGGTATCGGTTCATGGTATCGGTTAACTTTTACGAGTATGAGTACACACACATTTTACAGTATCGGCCCCGATACCAGTATCGGTATCGGTGCATCCCTAATCCTAACAGCAGCAATCGGTGTGCTACTTTTCCAACAGCACAAGGAGCACATCTCTTAGACGGAGTGAAAATTTAAAACTGATTCTCTGACAAATTCATGCTTTATTTAAGCAAACCTTTCCTCCCACCACCAGTTTAAAATTTTCACTTTAGGGTGATTTTCAAGTTTAGGGTGTTATTGCATCTCATCTTCATACCACAGTGGGGAAAATGACTCCAGGAATCACCTGCAACCTTTGAGCAGATACACCAACTTTATTTATCTATTGAAGAGCTTTGCTGTGTTTGCGGTAGCATGAGATGCTGTTTAGCCTTTTACATGTAAAACCTTTGAATAATAGCTAACTGTTAGGAAGTCAAAGCAGCACTGCTGCGTGTAGTATGGTGAGAGTGTCAGTGTCTGACAGCCAAAGTTCTTGTTTGATGATGACTAACATCAGTGCTGACATCACTTACTAGCAACCAGCTAACCAATGGTGAGTTGCAAAGCTAACGCTAAGCAACTATAGCAAGCTAACTTGGTGCATTAGCATCATAGACCTGATTTTCTTCCTGTATGAGGAGTTGTAGCCGTGGAGTCAACGTTAACCTTGTGGTCTTATTTACATTTAGCTGGCTAACTACCCACTCATGAATCATGAGGGATCCCCCGTGCTAAGAGCTAAGCTAGCTCTTTACATCTACACAATACGAGACAACTTAAGCACTTTGAAAGCAACTTCATCAGACAGCACTATCCTAATAGCTCACATCACCATCACCAGTAGCATTTATAATTTTTATTTTACCTGCACCATGGCAGTGAGAATGTGCGAGGATTATATATTTTACTTTTAAAAAAATAGTTTTATATCTTCTGCTAAGGCCAATGCCCTTTTTTGACAAAAACAGTTTATCCATGCTCAGTTGTTGGTACTTTTGGCATAATCACGCAACTACTTAAATGAATGACACTAAACATAATGGTCACTCAATCCACCAGCAAGGTGGAAGCTGATTAATTTTATTTTGTAAACTGCTTCTGAATTGCAGTGTTTCCAAAAGTCTTTGTTCCATTTTTAAAGTGTCACGTTTCGCTATTCTGAACAAAATCCATGCAGATCTTTTGTCTTCAAAAGCCGATATCTCCAAAACTGTGTCCCCCGAGCTGAAACTATCCGCATGGCTTGATGCCGCAAAGGGATTAACAGACAAATATGTCTTTTCTGACCCTTTAACTCTGTGTGATTGATCAGCTCTGCCTGTCTGCAGCAGGTTCTAGACTTGGAGGGTTTTTACACTAACACTAAGATGCATTCACTTCACTGGTTATCAGTAATTAAGGTACTATGTGAACAGGTCAGCACGTTCCACCATTTTTATTGATGCAAGGCTACACATTTTCCAACCTGCATGCACAAAAATAGCTCCACAAAATAATGATTCTCACATTTTGGACCAGAGGAGTCAGCAACCTACTTAATTGCAAATGGGCAAAAGAAGAAGAGAAGCACTGAGAGAAGTGGTGAGTTTCTCGAGTGCGCTGTACCTCTGTGTTATTTCCGATCCACCAGATGTAGGTGACCGTTCCCACTTGGCTGGGCCACAGAACAGCAGTCAGGTTCACTTCCTTATTCCTCACAGCCACAAATGGAGCTGAGAGATGGATATACTCCAGCTGACCTACTCAGGCACACATATACATCACAGTGTGAACTCGACGCTCTGCGCCACAGTATGTGAAAAGAGGATAAAAATAAATGAAATAACTTTGTCGGTTCAAATGAGGGGAAAAAAGAGGGAGGAGATGGGGTTTATAGGTGGGTGAGGAGGGTGAGTTTGTTCAAGATTCGCTCTTGCTCTGGGACTGCCGGCTGCCATCTGTGTACTATTTTTCATCCGTGGCACTCTGGAGCCTGCGGTGGCTCTATTTGTACGGTTGGCACATAGGATTGACAGATCGGTGGGGGCAACTTGCTCCCTGATCAATAAGTCAGCTCCGTTACATCTGTCACCCCCTGAATACACGGGGGTGGTCAGCCCTGTTACGTATGAGGATGCCGTGGCTTCTGCGGGCTGAGTGGCTGCGAAGCATAAGCTGAACTGAGTGGAAGAGAAATGGGATTTGTTCTATCTCACTTGTTTGTTTGGCTAAGGGAGGGGAACATGCTCTGTGAAGAGATAAAGTATAGGATGTCGTACAAGCAGGAAACAACAATTCCACAGACTCCGATAAAAAGTGGAAACGAAGAGCAGACACACTGGAGAATCTAAATAAATGCACAAAAACATCTTTCACAAAACTCGGTATCTCACATGTGACATGCAGGTAGAGCATGGCGGTCTCTGAGCCCAAGCTGTTCTCCCCGGTAGCAGTCACTCGGTAGATTCCCACAGCTTTGTAGATGTGTTTGATCCCATCCTCGAGGGAGCTCACATTGGAATATGTAAGAGCGTGGCCATCTCCGAAGTCCAGAGTGATGCTCGTCCTCGCCCCGTCACCCTGAACAGGACAAACACTTCCAGGAAACCTGCAGGTCTGGCCTTTTATGAAATATTCATTCTGGTTTGAGGTGGCTTTTATTACATTTGACCAACACAGAGCACGGTTTTCCCTCTAGGCACAATATGTGTGGGTAGTGTTTATCACACTCCCTGCTAAGGGCTGCGATTGTCAGCGTGGTCACTCAGCTCGGTCTCATTTCCAAGGCGTGAAATACTTTTGTCAGACACTGACTTTACTCCAAAGTTAACAGTAGGG